TAAAGGGGGCGCTTACCTCTTACATTGAACAGGAAGGCTGCTGAGGGCTAATGGGAGAAGGTGTGATCTTAAAGACACTTGGCAGAGGGTGTTGGTTTTGTGCCCAAGGGAGAGGATTTGCTTGTAAGTTTGACTCTTGCCTTGGCCCTGACCTTGAGCTGGTCTCTTTCTCTCCCTCTCTCTTTTGTACACATACACCTGTTTCCCGTGTGTATCCCGAGGAGAGGGGTAGGGATTTATCACCACCCCTGGCTCTCCGAAATTCCTGAAGCATTAGTAGGACTCCAATTCGGGAAGCAGAGCCCAGCCTCCCTCCTACCCCCAAGTGAGGAATCTCCCCAGGCTGGTGAGCTAATGAGTTGCAGGTGGACTAGGAGGCCCCACCTTTGCCTGGCAGGAGCTGGAAGCCTGCAGAAAGCTTTTCTGCTTTTCTCTCTATACCACCTACTCTGTGAAAGCCCCCAGCGGGGGCAGTGACCTGCTCAAGGTCACCAACACCTTGGAGGCTGAACCAGGGTCATGGAGCCAGTCTCCTGTCAGGCAAGCCACCTGACCCTTTTGAGCTGCAGTGACCCCACTGTGGACTGGGGTCCTTGTGCTCACTGGCAGGGCCTGGGGGTGGAAGAGCCATGTGAGGCCAGTCTGCCACTCCGCAGCCCCCAGTAGGTACCAGGTTGTTTCCTGGTCTCTTTCCTCCTGGGCTCGGCTGTTGGTGTCTGCACCCACCACTCAGAGCCCACATCGGTGCCTGCTACCAGGCCTGAGATGTCCGGCCCCTCAGGGCTCAGGCCTGTCTCGCTTCCCCTGAGCGCATCCTCTGGGTTGGCTGCTGACCCCTGACCCCTGCAGCTCTCCACCTAGAATCAGTTGGAAATTTCCCAACTGTATATATTCATTCTACCCTCTGTTATCCCCCAGCAAATAATTATTTCTAAAAATTGTTCACTTTAATCTCCCCCCTCCCCCAAGTTTCAGCTAGAGCCTGGCAACTGCTCCTCACCCCCACCATCTCTTCTTGCTTCTTCCAACCTGATCTCGGAACCAGAGGGTCTTGGTAAAACTAAAATCAGATCTGTGTCATTCCCCTGCATATCCCTGTTAGAAGTTCTCTGCGGACTTCTGAGGAAGATGTTGGATAGCTTAGCGTGACCCCAGGAGGGGCCAGCCCATGCTTCCTCTCTGGTGCCCTCTCCTCTGGAACGTATGGCCACACCTCCATTCCTCGATCCGAATCCAGAGCCTGCCATGCTCTGACCCCCGAGGATACCACAGAACAAAACAAAGTCCCCGCTGGGGCACTTGTGTTCGAGTTGAGGGGAGCCAGACAAGCGACAAGGTAAATAAGTAACGTATATAGTAGGAGAGATGGCAATAAGTACTTGGGAGCCAAGTAAATCTGGAAAGGATAGGGAACACCTGTCGGAGGTGGAGATATCACATCAGAGAAGATCTTGTGGTAAAGCTAGCATTTGGACAAAGACTTGAAGAAGGTAAGGGAGGGAGCCATGCAGAGATCTGGAGGAAGAGCATCCCAGGAAGCAGGAACAGCAAGTGCAAAGACCCTGAGGTGCCTGTGTTCCAAGAAGAGCCCAGAGCCAGGGTGGCTGGAGTGGAGGAGTGGGGGGAGGTGTGGCAGAAGATGCGCTCAGAGAGGAGGGTGGGGTGGGCAACACGGGCAAACTCTAAGGTCTTATAGGGCATTCTTAGGTCCCTGACTCACTTTGAAGTCATTCCAGGGCTCTGAGCAGGAGTGGCAAGGTCTGACCTGGCATATGGATTGGAAAGAGACTTCAGGGGACAGAAATGATGGAGGCTCAGATGAGCAGGGGGTGAGAAGTGATGGGATTCTCCTGATATGGGAAACTTTGAAAAACCTCTGTTTAACCTTTATTTGCCCAGGCCCCAGGCGCCCTGGGGAGAATGATAGGGCTGTCTGGGATAAGTAAACAACAGTGCATTAGCTAGGACTGAGATGAACACCCCTGCTGTTAAAAACTGACCTTCGAATTTAGCCTTTGTCCTCTGCTTCTGCCCCATAGCTAGAACTAACTTCCACATTCCACTTTTGTATCCTGCTTTGCTATGTAGACAAGAAGACCCTGTAAACTATAAAAACCCCAAGAATCCTTTGTTCGGGGCTCAGAATTTGGACACTGACTCCTCTGGGCCCGTGCACATTAAATAAACCTCGTACTCCAGAAACCCTCGGTGTCTGGTTGCTTCATTTTCCTGCAACACTCCCACCTTGGAGGTAGAGCCGACAGGATGTGGGTGTGAGAGAGGAGGTCAGGCTGTCTGGGTACCGGCCTGGATAACACCGGGAGGCTGGAGCTGACCTGGGAGCAGTAGGTCTGGGGGGAAGGAGAGGGGAGAGGAGTATGCAGTGTAGGGACAAGACTGCGCGTTGCATTTAGAGTTCTATCTGTGGCCACGTGCCAGCGCTTCCTTGCCCCTGGACTTTTGCACGTGCCGGTCTCTTGGTCTGAACTGGTTTTATTGCCCTGACGAAAGATCTCCAGCGGACTCCTCAAGGCTCCCTTCTGTGAATCTCTCCATTACTCACCCCAGGCCCCAGTCTATCCCTCTCTCTGCTTTGTGCTCACGTTGAATCTCACACTGGTCTCAGAGCCTCTACTGTATTTTGTCCCAGAAGGCAGGACTAAGTGTCATCACTCTGAAAACCTGTGTTTATTGGAATGTCGCATACCTTGGAGTGTCCTGCATGTAGCAGCTGCTCAGCAGGAGACTGAGGGGACCTGGTTGGAATCCTGTCTCTACCTACAAGTTCTGAGACCCTGAGCACTGCCCTTGCCTCCCTGAACCTCAGTATCTGCATCTGTCTGATGGGGGTGATCTTTCCCCTCACTGCCTCTGAGGGGATTGTGAGGATCCGATATTCCGAGGACGGGAAGAAAACCGTGGTTAGCGCGCCCTCTGCTGGAAAGCGATAGGCTCCTCAACCACTTCGCCCTCTCTTTTGCACTTTGCTGGGGAGGGAGTGGAAGTCAGAGGCCACTGGGAGGGGAATGGGAACCAAGGGTGCAACCCAACACTGCTGTTAATCTCTCACCACGACTCTCGGGAAGAGGTTAGAATAGACCCATTTTATTGAATACTTACTTGTCCCAGAGCTTTTTACTCACATCTTTATAATTTTTTTTAAGAGGAGAAAGAAAGGAGAAAGACCGAGTTGTGGAGAGGACAGGAAAGGTGGGGAGAGAATGGTTAAGGACCAGATCCATCCATATTGGGGCTGAGGCTGTGAGGGTCCCAGTCACCACTCAGCCACCGACTCAGTTTGGGAGGATCTCGGCCAGTCCCTTCCCCTCCCCGGCGTCAGTTTCCTCACCTGTGAAACGGACTTGATAACCTCTCCATCGCACCCCTCTCCGGGCAGAGGGACAGAGGCCTGACCCAGAGGGGATGAAAACACCTTGCCAGGTACAGGCTACACGGCCACAAGAGGGCGCGCAAGACTCCTGCTGGACAGCAACCGGGGAGATCCGCTCTGAGGGCAGGCAGAGAGAGACCTCTCTGGACCTCCGCTTCCTTTTCTGGGAGGGCCACTCGTTGCTTCCCTTCTCTAATCCTCTGTGTAAGATGCTGACAACAGGGTTTCTGTGGTGGGTCCCGCCCTATTCATAAGCACAGATTACAAAGCATTTTCTCCTCCATTAGGTCACTGACTTGCATATACCAGGGAGGTGGCCCTGATACCACCTTCAGTTCTCTGGAGACAAAATTAAAGCTAAGAGTGGAGCCACCAGCTCTGGGAATCAGACCCAGACTTGACCTGCTAACTCTCAGCCTTCCTCTGAGATCCTCAGCAACCTTTCCCTGGGAGGCTTTCTCCTGAGCTCTTTGACGGGGACCCTCCCCTGCAAACTGGAGGGTGCAAGCACCCTGGGATCTCAGGAAGCGGGGCTCTTGGAGGGGAGGCAGACAGCAAACAGGAAACTCCCCGACCTACTAATTCCAGATGCTGAACAGGAGCCGTATCCGCATTAGCAACCAAACTGTGTACGGATGACAAGCAAACATTTTCTTTTAGAGACACTGATGGTCCTCATTTTCCTATAATCCTATAAGGGGATCTTATTTTCCCCTCAGCCTTTTTATCCCCAGAACTGGAATTCCACCATTACTATGTCCTTCTTAGAATTAAAAGCCATTTTACTAGATTAGAAGACAAGGAGATTGAGGTCAGTCATTCACACCCTTACAGGGGCACTAAGACACCTCAGCCTTTCCCAGAGCTGCTCACAGAGGAGCCCAGAGAGGCCAGGCCAGCAGACAGCTGTCCCGGAGATGCTGTAATTATCCCCATTTTACAGAGGAGGAAAACTGAGGCACAGGGAAATAGCTCAATCAAGGCCACACTGTCCATGGTAGAGGATCCCCTAACCCAATTCCAGGCAGTGTGCCTGGTCCCTAAAGTCTGAAATTTTAACCCTCCTTCTACAGTTAGGGAGTATTGCACAGTGGCTAGGGGCATGGCCTCTGGGTTCCAGTCCCAGCTGCTCTGCCATTTCTAGCTGTGTGACCTTGGGCAAGTGACTTGTCTGTGCATCGGTGCCCTCATAAAGTGGGATAGTATAGTGCTTGCCTCATAGGATTCCCCCTAAAAGAGTAATATCTATAGCATGTTTAGGAGAGTACCATGCATGCAGCCACTGTCTGGTAAATAGGACCTATTACTCCAGAACCTCAGATGGGCACATGACCTTGAAGAACCTAGAAGAGCTTCAGGATTCTAAATACCTGAAGAGCTTCAGGATTCTAAAATGCCAGCCTGTGGGACCCTGGAATCTTCCAGGAGCATTCTGATGTGTTTTGGTTGCGTCATGGTCCAGGCTTCCAATGACTGGCGGGTGTGGGGCCTCCTGTCCACCCAGCTCAGCCCCACACAGGCAAATGAGGTGATGTCAAAACCTTGGCTGGGGCCCAGCTGCTGTAACCACCCCTTCTCCCTCCTGGCTACTCACTCACTCAGAGTCACACACACACTCCAGCTGGGCCCAGAGGGAAGGTGAGAGGGAGCGAAGGCGGGTGGTGGGGCAGGGGCCACTGAAGCGTAGCTCCTGCAGCCTGGTGAGCCTGTGCGCCAAGAGCTGCGGCTGGACCTGTCCCCTCTTCAAGTTAAGTCCGGGTTTGTAGTGATCCCCGAGCATCCTCCCTCTGGTGTGAGGGGTGTGGTGTCCACGCTGGTGTGTGGGCGCCCCTCCGCGGGCAGTGCACGGACCGCAGCCTGGCAGAGTAGCCATGGCGGACGAGAAGACCTTCCGCATCGGCTTCATCGTGCTGGGGCTCTTCCTGCTGGCCCTTGGCTCGTTCCTCATGAGCCACGACCGGCCCCAGATTTACGGCACCTTCTACGCCATGGGCAGCGTCATGGTGATCGGGGGCGTCATCTGGAGCATGTGCCAGTGCTACCCCAAGGTAGGCGGTGATGAGGGAGGGTCAGCCGGGGGCCAGGGGCCAGCAGGGCAGGAGGCTGAGCCTCTGTTCTAGGTGTAATGCCCCATCCTTCAGTCATCTTTTCATCCTCCCCCTTTGCACTCCCTTGTCCCCTCTCCACTTTCCTGATCGTCCATCCACCCACCCATTCATCCACCCACCCATCCACCCATCCCATCCATCCCACCCATCCATCAGTCCATCCCTTATCATAAAGATCAATCAGAAGCCCCTTGCATCAGGAGCCCTGAACTAGGCCCATGAGGAGGCACAATGAGACCCAACACACAATCATCTGTGTACCCGAAACCAGAGTCAGTGAGTGCTGGCCACCTGCCAGTCGCTCCTGCATTCCCCGTGCAGCTCAGGCCTCCCCCAGAGCCTTTTGCACCCCTGTAGTTCCATTTCATAGTGGAGGAGCCCGAGACTCAGAAAGGCGAGGCCCCACAGCCCCTGAGGGTCAGACACTGGGGCTCAGATGTGTGTCCATATCTTAGATGACACTCTACCTCAGAGGGCTGTCCCTGTGTCTCAGAGCTGCCGAGACTTCTGGGTGGGTCAGGTGTAACCTGGCTGGTTTGGGTTGGGCTTGGGCAGTGTGCTCTCCTTCAGGGCTTCCATGTACTCCTAGTGACTTAGCACTCCTTGTGAGTACTCCCATGTACTCCCAGTGACTTAGTACTCCTTGTGAGTACTTCTATGTACTCCTAGTGACTTAGTACTCCTTGTGAGTACTTCTATGTACTCCTAGTGACTTAGTACTCCTTGTGAGTACTCCCATGTACTCCTAGTGACTTAGTACTCCTTGTGAGTACTCCCATGTACTCCTAGACTTGTGAGTGACTTAGTGATGGGGAGAGTATTGGTTTGGGGGTCCTGAGCTCCAGCCCCAGCTCTGTCCCAAACAGAGCTTTGTATTTCTGAGCCTCAGTTTCTTACATCTGCAAAGTGGGCCCCAAGCCCCTATTTCATCCAGCTCACATAGTTATTACCAACAGAGAAGAGATGGGACAAAGGAATGCTTTATAAACTATAGAGTGTTATATTTAGGTGAACGGCTGTCACCCTTATGGTTACTGATCCTCCCAGCAACCCTGTGGAATGGACACATCAGGAGTTGTAAGCCTTTAGTGCTCAGAGAGGTTGTGTGACTTTTCTGAGGTCACACAGCTGGTCAGACAGACCCAGGGAGACAAAAAGAGAAGCGTGGGTTCTAACCTGAAGACTTGGTCCAATCCCTTCCCTCTGTGAGCCCCGGTTTCCTCATTTGTACAATGTGTGAGTCAGGAAGCAGGGGCAGGGAAGCGGTGCGTCTAAGGCACCACTATGGGCCCTGGGCAGCCCCACACCACCCGCAGTCCCCTCCTCACCTTTCACCTGGGCGGCTCTGCTGGGGAGGAGGAGGGGGAGGAGGCTCCTGGGGGCCTGGGCCTGGCTCTCCCCAGCCCTGCCCGCTCCCTGGGCCAGCCCCAGACTGTCAGAATGTTTGGTGCTGGGGCGGTCCTGGCTGGTTTGCAGTCATTTACCCAGCAGTTTACAGTCAACTCGCCTCTGTCTGTGCAAGGCCCTGAGCTCAGGTCACCTAGAGAAGAGGTGCCTGGGGCCCGAGCCAGCACGTCCCCCCCTCCGTCCACCTCCTCCTCCCAGTGATGAGGCTGGACGCGGGGGACAAAGGAATCTAGAGGGTAGTGTCCTTCCTGCCCACCCCTGTTTACCAGAGGTGGTCTGGGGTGGGGGGCAGCGGCCAGGTGGCAGTGGGGGTGAGGGAGGGGGAGAGGGAATATGGCCGTGTATTAATGAGTAACTGTTGATGGATCCACGTGTCCTGTGCTGTGGAGGGAGCCGGGCCTGGGCGGGCTGGGAGGGGAAGGGGGGCGGAAATGCGTTTTAGTGCCCAACAGGCTCAGATTCAGACCCCTCCTCCCCCTGCCCCACCTCTGCGACCTTGTCCGAGGGAGTCTCCGGCCTCCTGAGCCCAGTGGGAGGAACCAGTGGGGTCAGGTGTGGGGGGGACCCACATCGCACCTGGCACAGAGCTGTTCTGTGCATTATTCTCGGGACCGCGTCTGGGCGAGTGCAGGTGTGGGTCTCTGTGGGTGTTACACACGCACACTGAGGGCAGGAAGGAAGTGCGCTGGAAATGAGGGGGGCTCATTGTGGGGGGAGGCCCCTTCGAGGGGGAGGCCCGGTGTGCAACACCGCCTCCCTGGTGCCTGGGCCATCTGAATGCTCAGCTAACTCTGGGGCCCATCCCCCCATCAGGATTCTCCCTCGTCTCTGAGTGTCTGATAAACGGGAATCTCCTAGATTAAAAATATGAACACGAGGGACTGGAATCAGCCAATTAAGATATGGGGGTTAGAGGTAGCAGTTCCAACATGAATAGAGTTGTCCCTGTCTCTGAGGAGCTGCGGCCTCTCAGGAAAGACAGTTTTCTGCCTGACGGGGCGAGGGTAGGCTTCACAGAGGAGGGGAGCTGGGCTCTGTGGGCTAAGCAGAAGTTCACCAGGCAGAGAGGATGGGAAAAATGTTCCAGGTAGAGGAACAGCATGGCCAGACACACGGCGACAGAGCAGCAGGGCTATGGGGCTGGGGGAGGAGGACGGAGGAGAGAGAGTAGGGCTCGTTCTGCGGGGCCCGCGGGGCCTGCCAAGGAATCTGGATCTTACCCTTTAGTTGATGGGACAAGAGAGGGACACGATCAGCTTTGCAATTCCGGGCAATTATCAGGCCAGCGTGGGGAGGGGAAGGCCCAGGGGCACCCTGCTGGGGAAGCTCCTTCCCCGTCCCAGTGAGAGGTGACGGCCTCCTGGACAAAGCCAGAACCTGAGGCCATGACCATAGGAACTGAGAAGACAAGTCACATCCATCAGGTGTATAGCACCTGTGGTGGCGGGACACGGCACCGGCCCCTCCATTAGCTTATCTCACTGGAGTTCTGAGGTGGTCTTGGCCAGATGCGGCGGACTGCTGGGCCTCAGGCTTTGGAGAGGAGGAGAAATCAGGGAAAGTCTAGTGGATGGGGCCGTGAGGGATGCTGCCTCTGTTAGCTGAGATGGGGCAGGGGAGCTGCAGGGAGGGGAGAGTTGGCAGGGAAAGCGGTGCTCCTCCCTGCCCACCTTCTGCCCCTGCCCACAGGTCTCCCTCCTCACCCCTGACTGAGTGAGGAGCCCAGGGCTGGGCCCCTGACTGGTGGTTGGTGGATCTGTCCTCTCCATAGGCCTCCATCCTTTCCTCTGCTCCCTCCTTTTGGGGGCTGCTGAATGCTCTGCCTAAACACAGGTCTGTCTGCTCTCCCCAGCGGAGAATTCCTCCAGGGCTCCCAGGGCTTCTGGACAAAGGCTGGACTCCTTAGTCTAATGTTCTGGGCTCTTCAAGGTCTGCTCTCCCCTCCCTAGCTTCAGGTCCGCTCCCCTCTCTTAAAAGGACTTGTGTGTGAAGGTGCTCCCATCTTATCTGCTCCCCCAGGCTTTTCACCATAGCCATGATGATGTTGATGGAGGTGATATTGGTGGTGGTGATGCTAGTGATGATGGTGGTGATGATGGTGATGTTAATGGAGGTGATGATGATCATGGTGATGATGATGGTGGTAGTGATGATGACGATGTTGATGGTGATGGTGATGGTGGTGGTGATGATGGTGATGACAAGAAGGAGGAAGATGGTGACTTGGTCACGTGACACTGAGGCATAGAAAGGGGCAGCTTCTTTGAAATGCAGAGTCAGTGGGCAAGGGCAAGCCATCCTAGGTGGGTGTGGGAGATACCCAGACCCCTGTGTCATGTCCAGAGAGGAAGCTTACCCCTCCGTGGAGGTGCAAGGACCCCCCCACCCGTCTTTCCCAGCTCCCTAGCGGGGCGGAGCTTTTCCAAAGCAGACAAGTGTCTCTTCCTCGCTGCACTCTATGGGGAGGGAAAACGTGATGCTACTCATGGACCTGCCACAGCACAGAAGGGCCTCATCAAACACTGGTTGAAAACATTTTTCAGTGGAGGCGAGTAGGACTCAGAAGGTAACTTCGTTTTCAGTTGCATCGAACTGTTGTTCAGCGAGCAGCTGCTGTGTGCCGGGCATCCTGTGGGGGACTCCTTCTGTTAGTCCCTCATGGCGTCTTCACGGCAACCCCGGCAGACAGGTGTTGCTGGTCTTATTTTTTTAAATTGTGGTAAAATACACAACATAAAATTGACCGTGTTAACCGTTTTTAAGCATTATTACATTTACACGGCTGTGCTACAGATCTCCAGAACTTGCACCTTGCAAAACTGGAACTCTCCACCCATTAAACAGTAACTCCTATGCCCTCCTTCCAGTCTGGGGCAACCACCATTCTGCTTTCTGTCTCTGTGACTCGAACTACTGTAGATACCTCAGGTGAGAGGAATCATACTGAGTTTGTCTGTTCGTGACCGGCTTGCGCCTTCTGTCCATGTGGTAGCCTGTGTCAGAACTTCGTTCCGTTTTAAGGCTGGGTAACGTCCCCCTGCCTGGTTAGGCCACATCGTTTATCTGTTCATCTGTGTAGGGACACCTGGGTCTCTTTCACCTCCGGTCTGCTGTGAACAATGCAGCAAGTGTCTCTTCGAGGCCAGCCCCACTTTACAGAGAGGGACAGAGAGGCTCTGGGAGGGGAGGTGACCTGCCCAAGGAAAGGTTCCCATGCAGTCTCCCAGACCCCAAAGGCGGGCTCCTTCTGCCTCATTCCACAGCCCTCTTTACGATCCTGCCTCCCCTCCACTGCCCGTGCCCCCAGCGTGGGGCTGTACTCGCAGAAACCCTGAAAGTTCAGGGACAGGGACTGGTGGGCACAACCGCAGTCATCTGTCCCCCACCGCGGCCTCTGTTCCAAGAAACACATCATGGTGGCCTGCTTTGCACTCACTCATCAGATACAGATGAGGCATCAGGCATGTTCTGGGCACCGGATAAGGACTCTGCTATAGGACAAGGTGTGAACAGCTCCAGGGCAGGGACGCTTGTCTCATTCACTCCCTGCTGCCCCCTAGGGCCCAGAAGAGTGCCTGGCACACAGCAGGTACTAAATAAATGTTGGGTGAACGTCAGCCACCTGGGAGCAGGAGCCCAGAGATCCACTCGTCCGCTAACGCTGGTCCCTGCAGACCCCTCACTTGTCGTAAGGGGGAGGTGCTCCCTGGTTGGGCCTCTCTCCCAGGGCATGTGGAGAGGTTAGGCCCATGCCCCAGGGCTGGTGGGGGGGGGGTAGGGCAGTGGCCAAGGGTGTGTGCAGGTAGCTGCAGAGAAGCCATCTCCCCTTTGCCCTACAGATTGCCTTCATCCCTGCTGACTCTGAATTCCAAGGAATTCTGTCCTCAAAGCCAACAGGCTTGCTGGAGAACAGAGTCACTGCTGAGATGAAGAGGTAGGTGCTGGGCCTTCTGTGCCTGGAGGGGTGGGGGGAGGGGAGGGCAGTGAGCCCTTCTCCTCTCACACGGGAGAGTGTGGGCGGGGCCGGGGTGGGGGTGGGCAGGGGCTCCTCCCCTTGCTCCAGGCTCCTGCTTGGCTTTCCCACTTCACTAAGAATATACCACTGGGAATCACGGATTGTTCTGAACTCTCAGTTCTGGGAGGTGAGCATTATTATTCCCATTTTACCCGTGAGGAAGCCGAGGCTCAGGGACCTCATCCCGTCTTACAGTGAACCGGCGGCAGACCGGAAATCAGCATCAGGCCTGACACTAGACTAGACCCCAGAGGGCTGCGGCTGCTGTTACTGCTGCAGACAGTGAGAGGCAGGGGAGGCACAGTGACGGCCAAGGTGCAGCCTGAGCCTCTGCCACCGTCTGGCTGTGTGACTTTGGGAAAGTGACACACCTCTCTTTGCCCCCTCTGTAAAAATGGCACCTTCCTCCTGGGGGTTCAGGGAGGATTCAGTGGGATAATAATATGAGCAAGTACGAAGAACAGAACCCGGTGCACAGTAGGCCCTCTGCAAACCAGACACTTCGCACCCCTTACCTCCCGCAGTCCTCATAGAAACCAGGTGAAGGGGAGGAGGGGGGTGCCATTCCTTTATGCAGATGTGGAGACTGAGGCTCCAGAAGTGTGAGCACAAGCCCCAGACTTCCCGGGGAGGCACTGACAGACCAGACCAGACCCGCCCTGCCTCGTAAGCGGGTGCCCAGGCGTGGCTCTCCAGGACATGGCAGAGAGCACCGGGCCAGGCGACAGCACTGATGTCTGCGGAATGACTCCTTCCCAACCTGTCTGTTCTCTCTCCTTCTGTCTGCTGGGTCCCCACCTAGCCCCCAGCCCCCCTACGCAAGGCTGTGGGATGAAGCTGCCTATGACCAGAGCCGGCCTGACCTCAGCCACATCAGGATGAAGGTCATGGGCTACAGTGAAGATCCCCGCCCCCTGCTGACCCCTGCCCAGGAACAGCAGCAGCCAGAAGCTAGTGACAGAGGGGACGGCAGCCCTCCTGAGGCTCAGACCTGGATGGAGGCTGCTGTGGTCATACACAGGGGCTTGGATGAGGTCGGGGGAGAAGGAAACCCAGCTCAGAGAGGCCCCAGGTGAGTGTGCAGAGCGCAGGAGTGGGAGCAATGCCGGCTTCTGGGGTGTGGGCCACTGAGGGGGGTTGGGTACATTTGGGAATAGAGAGAGCAGTGGGAGTGCGGGTAGCCTGAGAAGTAGCAGGTGCAGCAAATGCATGAGCCTGGGCTTGGATGGGCCTGGGTTCAAGTCCCAGCAGCTCTGCTGTGTACCCCTAGCTGGTTTCTTGCCCTCCTGAGCCTCAGGTTTCCCCATATGGGGATAATCACTCCTTCCTCCGAGGGGTGCTGTGAAGACTGGGACAGTGTATTTCAGGGCCAGGCACACTGCAGGAGCGCTGTACTGTCTGAATTCTTGTCACGTGTAGTGGGGGGCAGGGAGCCAGAGGACCCGCCAACTAATGTGCTCTGTGACCTCGGACAGGTCACTCCCCACCCACCATCCCTGGATGTTGACGAACTGGGTTCCTTGTTCATCCATTTACTCACACATCCTACCAGTGTTACTGGGCACCTACTCCCTGCAAGGTCTTGGTGGCCTCCACCCTGCAGGAGCTTCTGGTCCAATGGGGGATGCGGGGGAGGGAACAGAGGGTGACATGTAATGTAATGGGGACCAAGAGCCTAGAGGAGACCCCTGAGTTATTGGAGAAGTGGACGAGTGACTGGTTTGGACAATAACATCATAATGCCTCATTTCCTGAGCACCTAATATGTGCCAGGCATTGTGCAAAGTGCTCTCTGCACACCGCTGCTGACTGCTGATATGTCCTCATTTGAAAAATGGGAATGATTATTCTGCCTAAAGGCGTTGTTCAGAATAAATGGGATCAGCAGGCACAGGGCCTTTCCCCCTGTCAACCTCAGAGACACCAGATGGGTGAATACTGTTACTTCCCCATCTAACAGGCAAGAAAGCTGAGGCCCAGACAGGTGTGCTTGCCTCCTCTGGCCTTGTAGTTGGTGGCTGAGGTTTGGACCCAGGCAGTCTGACTCAGAGCTAACCTTGCTTTCTCTGGTTTGTCCATGCAGCCCCCCAGGGGGTCCCCAGGGCCCTGCACCCTTGGCTTCCTTCCAAGATGACCTGGATTTGGGCTCCAGTGAGGACAGCAGCCCCAACCTGTCTGCACCTGCCGGGGTGGAGCCCTGGGCCTTCAGGTGCCAACTGGACCGCTTCCAGGACTTTGATCTGATCGACGCCCCCACGTCGGAGGACGCGCATCCAGAGGGGCCGGGGCAGGACACAGCCCTACCAAGCTACCAGCAGCGGTCCCTGAGGACAAGAGAGGAGGCTTCGAACACGGGTGTAGAGGAGCCAGAGCAGGAGGAAGAGGACTTGTACTATGGGCTGCCGGATAGCCCCGGGGACCCCCTCCCAGACAAAGAACTGGGCTTTGAGCCGGATGCTCAGGGCTTGGATGGAGCTGGCCCTGGGCACTAGCCCAGCACCAGCCACTAACCTTGTATGATTTCACAGGGCCTCAATTTCACTATCTGCAAAATGGGGTTGTATGGAGGTTCCGGTGAGACGGTGGATCCCGGAGCACCTAGAGAACTGTAAAGAGACGCGCAGGGAAGGGATGATTACTCTCAACGGACCATTGCCGTTCTAATTGTTACCGTGGGGGTTAAAGCTTGAAGGTAAAATGTACTTCATTAAGGGGATTTGCAGCAGCTGGGGCCCTCAAGAGCCTTCTCTGCCTCCCCCAAAAGTTGGCCTTGGAACAGGAGCCCTCCTCGGTGCTACACCTGGTTCTCTAACCTTCTAGGAAGGCCTCTCAGGGTCCCCGTTCCTGCTGAGCCCGAACGGGGTGTGACCTGTCTTCACCCAGAGCTAACTGCGTGCCCCTCCTGCGGCCTCCTGCTGCTCGGGGGTCCAAACCCTTCCAGGACTGACCTCCCAACTGACGCCCCCGTGTCGGCCCCGTGCCGCACCCTCCGCCCTTCACACTCCGCCTGCGACCCCTGGACTGCCGTGCTGTCTGCCTGGCAAACTTGTGCTCCTCCGCCAGACGGGAGCGCAGATAGATATCCCTCCTCTTGAAAGCCTTTCCCGAGGTCACCGCCTCCTGGAACAAGTTAGTCCTGGCTCCTTGGCGCCACCTTTGGGGCTTGTGCGCTCATTACAGGAGCATAAACTGGCGCCCTTGCTTCCCTTACGTTGGTGTCTCTGGTGTCCAGAGTCAGTGGTCATTGAGGGTGTATGGAACTGACCAGAACCCAGGACACTCACTCCACTTCACTCACTTCCCAGCCCCTTTACGCTCTGGCATTCGAGCTTCCAAAGGGCCTGCATAGGAGTCACAAAGCCAGGGGAAGAGCCCCCAGAATAGCCTCCTCCCTGCAGGACACACCTACTTTAGCTTAGGACCGTGGGTGAAATGAAACCTCCTGGGTTAATTTGATTCAGGTGGCATTTCTTGAGCATATACTATGTGCCAGACACTAAGCCAGAATCTTTGAGGGTAAAGAGGCAGGAAGTGATGAACAAACAGTTCTCGCCTTCAAAGGACTCACAGTCCAGTGAGCGTGGTGTTTCATAAGTTAGGACAGATAGCAGAGCAGGAGCCAAGGTGGAAACAGGAATTACAATAAAAAGAATGGTGCCCAGAGGCAGCAGAGTGACATCCGGGCCAGCAGTCTGCAGCCGACAAGTCCGCCTGCCCCGCAGCCCCGGAAACATCACTGGTGTAGCACCACCGAGTGCAATGCTTTTAGTATGCGGCTCCCCGCCCCGCCCTCTGCACCCCAGCACCGGGACTGAGGCAGCTGCTTCAGAGGAAGGGGCAGTGGCACTATCTCAAACCAGGTCCACACGGAGAGCTTGCCTCCTGGGCCACCTGGGACGGGGAGACCGTCTCCTGGGCTGGGCCTCCGGGTCGGGGCTGGGAGACCCAGCGGCAGGACAGGGAAGCCCTCCGCACCTGGTCTGACGAGCACAGCCCCGCCCCCCAACACTCCCTAGTCTTTCTGGGTCACGCTGCCTCCAGGATGAAAACCTGGGCGGTGAAAGGCGTTATCGGGCACACCTGTGACCCGAGTCCTCGGACTGCGTGAGGTGTAGTGTGTTTCTGTGCTCTGTTCACAACAGTGGGAAGGAGGCAACCTGAATCAGAAGCCGCACCAGCACGAATGGCTGGAATAAAAACGTTGTCAGCATTGAAAGGGGTCACCTTCACTGACCTGCAAATTCCTTTATGTGAAACCACCTGTTCCAACCTCTGGGGTAAATGAAGCATCATGCCTGGCGGGTGCCATGGGCACCCTCCGGAAACCGACCGCACGGGACAGCTGTGCGGTGTGCAATCTCCCGAGTGGCCCTGATGTCCCTGAATCATCATCGCAGGGCATTCCCCAGACCTTATCCAGAAAACCGAGAGCCTCTGGCTGCAGGCCCACCAGCAGGGAGATGCCAACCCCGTCCCAGGAAGTCCTGCCAAGGGCCTGGGGCAGCGGAGGGAGAAGGTGAGACAGGTTTTGGCCCCAGTCCCGGATCCCCACCCTGGTGCAGTGTGATGGGGAGGCAACATGTGGCTCTGCCCAGAACAGTCCTGGTCTATGCCCACTGCCCCTGCTCAGCTATTAGTGGTGCGCCCTTTCACCCTCAAAGATATCCCATTTGGGAGATAAACTATGTTCACCCTACTCTGTGACCCTGGGCAAGTCTGGTTGCCTTTATGTACCTCAGTTCCCTCCTGGGCAAAGGGAGATGATGGGCCCCTGGCTTTGACCTTTGCAGGGGTTAGGCGGTGGGGGTATCTGATGGAATCCACCTGCCAGAGCCTGCAGGAGACTGCTGGGAGCTCACCTGTAGCTAAGAGTTGGGCTCATTGCTGACTGCAGTGAGAAGAACAGACCCGGGGCAGAGGGGGTCGCATCTCCATAGGAGGGTGTGAGGAAGAATGTACTGTGGGATTCGGGCTTGTGGGAGGTGGTTTGGAGGAGGGTGTCAGGGAGCGAGACTCTGCTCTGAACTGGATGCTGTCGGAAGCAGGGCTAGTTCTAGGATGCGGCACCCGGGTCCCTCTGATCTCGAAGGGGGAAGACTAGCCCTGAGCTGAAGCTGTAAATGGCTGAGAAGCAACTCCAATCCTCCAGCCAGGAGAGGAGGATGTGGGGTGATTGTGGTGGCCGTGACAATGGTGGTGTTTTGCCTGTGCTCAGTCATGGCTACTGAGTGGCCTTGACTTGTCTTGACCCGTCATGGTCACAGAGTGGCCTTGTCCGTGAACTTGCTCATGTTCTACAGAACACCGGCCCCAGCTGTGGGGGCCGGAGGCTCCTGGCTGTCAGGCTGCTGCTGTCCTTCCTCTGGGCTCACTGCTTGGTGGCTCTTCCTCAGGGGCTGCTAGTGACCTTGGGGAGGGGTGGGGAGTAGAATGCACTGTGGATTTCATTTGAAAAGGAGGGTCAGTGGCTTTTTAAAAGTGTGAACGCACACGTGCAGGGGGCTCTGATTCCATTCCGCTCTGGCCATTTTGAGCTCTGTGGTCTGTCTCACTTCGTCTGAAATCCCACCATCATTCCCTCTCCCTCGGCCTTGCCACCTTTCAGTCCCTCTAAGACCACAGGGCTCTGGGACTGTCCCTGGCAGAGGAATTGGGAGGGCAGGTGATCTTCCTGCAGGATTCCAGGACGGGTGGGTTGCAGAGGGCCCAGAGAAGCAGCCTTGGCGAACCCTGGGATTCTGAGTGCAGCCGCAGGCTCTGGGTGTGTGTGCCATGGCAGAAATTCTGCTCTTTTGACCCTCCTAAGAGTCAGAGGGACTGTGGAAGTTTCCACTCTCTGGGTGGAAAAGGCCCTGGAGGGATGCAGGGATGGAGGGACCGCCCTTGTCCTTACCTGGGAAAGACAGCGGCCCTGGGGGCAGGGAGCTTGTGCTCCTGCTGACTGCTTGCCGTGACCTTGGGCATGTCACAGCCCTTCTGGACTTCTGTCCCTGTTCTCTGTATGACTAGGTGGGGGTGGGCAAGATGCCACTTCTCCCCATCCTTAAGCCCTGTGCCGGACACCCTCACACCTATTACTCCCTGTGGTCCTTGCAACAGCCCTGGGAAGAGATCTGTTGACCCCACACTGCAAATGTTTGTTCTGAATCCCAGATTCTGGAGTCAGAAAGACTCAGATTTGCCCTCAGCCTCTATCAGTTCCTTGCTGTGTGATCTTGGACAAGTCACTGGCTCTCTCTGAGCCTCCACATCCACATGTAGGCAGTAGAAAGGACACTGCCTACCTCTCAGGCTGTTGTTACAGAATGAATGATCACGATGCCTTCTGCACGTCGTAGGTGCTCAAACAGCGTCGTCTCCTTCCTTCCCTCTCCAGGTCTCAGTTTCCTCATCTGCACAGTGGAGATCAACTCTGTCCTGCTTATGAACCTGTATGAGTGAATTCAGTGAGCCAGTGCCAAGGGGCAGGTCAGACGACAGCCAGCAACAGGGAGCTAAGGCGGGAATAAAATCCCTTCAGGACCAGGAGGAGGGGCAGAGTGCTCAGCGAGACTGGCAGTGTGCTGATTGTGAGGAGGAGAAGCAGGATTGCTTACTCCTGGTCAGACTAAAGTTACTGAGCATGTGCTGAGTATCGGGCTGTCCACGTTCATCAGTTTAACCCTCCCACCAGCCCTGAGAGAGGGCCATTCCTGGGTCGGAGCTGGGCTTCAAGCTGGGTCCCCTGAGCCTGTTCCACTCTGTCTGTCATCTGGTCCACACATATGACGACTCAGTGATGCCCTGATTGTGCTGTGCTCATGTGATCTCGTTGCATTGTCAAAACCTGCAAGGCCGTTGTGTTATCCCCATTTTACAGATGAGGAAGCTGAGGCACAGAGAGGTTGAATAATTTGCCCACCCTCCCAGAGAAGAGCTAAATGGAGAGGGGGAGGTATAGCCACAGGGCCTTCAATTTCTGGCAGGGACTGTCCAGTGGTCCCAGGTTATTTCACCCCCAGTGAGCACAGGACAAAGACATCTATCAACAAACCAGGCAGCAAGGTTCCACTGAGCACCTACTTGTGCCTTCTCCTGTGTTAGTGCTGAGGGCAGACCCCCTCTGCTCCCACACCTTCCATGACTTCCTATTGCCCAGAGGAGAAGGCCAGATCTCTGAGCTTGGCATTTTTGAGGCCCTTCATGGTCTTGCCCCACCCACCCTTTCCGGCTGATTTGTCCACCGCTTCCTCCCACGTAGCAGCCAGGGGAATACTCATCCTAATGTCATCCTGCCTGATGCCCTCCATCCTTTTCTTCTCACCCCTCAATGCCTGGCGCAGTTTCACCTGTTCCCTGGGGCCTCACCTGGCCCTGCTCTCCCCTTGTGGGGCAGGACCCTTCCTCCCCACCCTCTCCTGGGGGTCCTGCTCAAACGGCAAGCGCCATTCTGGCCCCGGCCTTCCTCACGTGACTGGCTATGCGTGCGCCCATGCGTGCTGGTATGCGTCTCCCCACCTGGACCGGGAGGTCCTTCAAGGGCAGGAGCCTCCTCCTACCCATTTCTATCTCCAGGACTTAACACATGCGAGCGGCAATGGTGCTGGTGGAACAGGATGGAACTGATCTGAATTGACCTGGACGAGGACCAAATGCCCCTTTGCGAGGCTTGTTGGCCCAGACACACAAACCACACAGCAGGGAGGAGGGGCGCTGGCTTTGGCTCCATCAGTCCTGGGTTTGAGACTGGCTTCCCCCACCCAGTTCTGTGACTTTGGCCAAGAGACTTACCCACTCTGGTCCTCAACGTCCTTACCAATAAAACGAGGTCAACGGTATCTAGCTAATAGCATCTTGTGAGGATTAGATGAGATCGTGCATATTGGGTGCTCAGCATGTGCCTGGGGCCTGGTGAGCCCTCAGTATATAGCAGTTATCATTACTAGTATTTGCAGAGGTGAGGGGT